ATGGGTGGAGGTGGCCGTGTGGAGTTTGCTTGAAGCCCCACAACCCAGGCGTCTGGTTCAGAGGTGCCTGGGAGCCACACTGGGTATGTGGGAAGGAACCCTGAGGCGCTGGAGCAGAATCCATCCTGGAGCAGGCTGCTGGCTCCTGGCGCTGGGGGCAGGCTCCCGGTGGGGATGGCAGGAGCTGCTGGCAGGCACCGGCTGTGCTGCTCAGCCTCTTTCCTCCTCCGGGAGAGCACAACAGGCCCATGAGCACCATCCACAACGTACAGGAGGACACAGCAATCCTCTCCCCTGGAGCAGGAGACCCAGGCTGCCCATGGGATCAAGGCTGCCCCTGACCACGTGCATGGGAGCCCAGCGTGGTTGCCACAGGTGACATTTAATGACAGATGAGCTTCAGTGGCTCTTTAGCAAGCGGCTCATCAGACACTGTCCCGGCTTCTTGTGCTCATCTGCAATGGGGACAAGGGCTGGCTGGTGCCCAACTCACCTTAGCATCAGCGTGGGTGTCTTGCTTGGCATCCCCTGTGACTAGTGATGTCCTATGAAGAAAACCTGACGGATGGGTCGGAAGCAATGGCAGCTGCAGCTGCCCAAGTCCCAAGACGGCTCCAGAAGCCTTCTCACACTGCCTTCTGCAGCCGCTGCTGCGGAACTGCTCTGCTCCAGTGACCGAGCAGCTCATCACAGTTGTGTCTGTCAGCAACAGCAGCAGCGAGAGCCGAGCTCTGGGGCAATGTGAATGCCATGGACCACTTGTTCCCATACAGAAAGCAGCTCCTCAGGCTCAAGGCCAGGTTCCAAGTGTTGGGGGTTAATGTTTAACAAGAAAAAGCCCAGAGCAAAGGAATAAAGTAAGAAATATTTAATGCTATGCTGCCAGAAGGCGCTGGATGGGCTCCACTTCATAAATACTTCAGGCATTTCTGCTCAAAGATGAGCTCTGGCTCCCCTGGGCCTGTGTGTTCACTTCCCCCTTGGCCAGGCAGGTCCTACACTCTACACTGATCCCTCACCTCCAGCAAAGGGCAGCGGGAATGGGGATGGGAGATTCACAGCCAAGGATGAGCACTGGAGCAGGGAGACAGTGGGAATGACAGCAGGGGAGAAGTATTTGTGTGGATGGGCTTTTGGATGGGGCTTCAACATCCCATAACCCGCCACCCCATGGGCTCTTACAGGACAAGAACTGCTGCTGTTGGATGGCACCAGGCACCACATATGCCCTCCTCCTGTGGGTGCACAGCCACGTGTGGCAGGTCCCCCTGCACGAATGGGATGTGTAGGAGCATCCCTGGGAGAGCAAACCCCCCCGGACCCCTGCTGACCCCTGTGGTGCCTGCTCTGCTCTCCAGGGCCGCTGGGCCAGCCCTGCCCATGGTAAAGGCCTTTTTGTTTGTGCTGGTTTGTTGCTGTGCCTGTGAGTCGGGAACCCTGCGGCTTGGGGGCTGTGTTTGTCAGGGGTGTGGAGAACCCATCGCTGCCATGGAGAGCATCCCGAGGACAGCGCCTTGTGCACTGCATCACCTCTGCCACACACGCACACAGCCAGTAACATATATATATTATATTATATTTTATATATATATATATGTACACATTAACAAAGAAGTTGCAAAAAAAAAAACAACCCAACCAACAGAAAAGGGGAAAAACTGTAACTTAAGAACAACCCTCCCCCAAACCAAAGTGGAACAGGAATGGTACAGATGGCGAGGGGAGGCTGATGGGAACCAGGAGCCCCAGTGCACACCATGGTGTCACCAGGAGCAGAGGAGCCCCCAGCAGTCCCGGGCTCCCACCCGTGTCCATGTGGGGAACAGGCTCACTCATACCCCAGGGCCACAGCACCAGAACCATGGGCGCTCATGGGCCGGGGGCAGCACCTGGGGAGCATCATCAGAGGGGGGACCAGGGACGGGGCCACTCACTCACCCTCTGGTGACACCCGCGTGGGTTTTGGGGCTCCAAGACTTGGAGAGGACACTGTGGGTGCGAGCCCCCTGTGAGCCATGTGCGAGGGCAGGGGAACCCCACCACGATTAGTGCAATTTCATCAGGTGCAAACGTCACATTAATGGCTCGTGTGCTCTGGGTTCCCGGGCGCGCCGAGCCCTCCAGCAACCAGCCAGTCCAAGGGTGCTGGGGCCAAGCTCGGCACCTGACTGCAAACGCTAAAATCCATCTCCAGTGCTTGGGCATTTGCTTGAGGTTGCCATGTTAAGAGCAGCCCCATATGGGATCGGCACACAGGGAACGGACTTGCACAGTGGCCCCGTGTGTGAAAAGCATCCAACTGAAAAGGGCAACTTATCCTCTTACCATGAACTCTGTGTGTGCTCAGCCATGGGGAGCATGCGGCTGACCCAGCTGCGGCTGCAGGAAGCACATGGACCTGCTCCATCCATGCGGGAGGGATGGGCCTTGGAAGGCAGCCTGGGTCAGAAGGAACGTGGCAGTGCTGGGGCCAGGTCCCATCCCACAGCTCCCTCCTGCAGCCTGTCACCAAACCCAGCAGCAGTGGGTGCTGTGCTGGGAAACAGGCTCTGCACACACACTGACCCTCCTGTCAGCCGCCAGCACCAGGCTTTGTGCCATGGGCCCCCCCTCCCAGCCAGGGCACTGGGGGTGCACCCGCTCCGGGCAGGGGTAACTGGCTCCAGCCACACCAACCAGCCTGTCCCGGCCCATTGGGGACAAGCTCCCATGTGCTGCCGCCCCATCCGAGCCAGGACCCCCGCCCGGGGCTGTGCTCTGAGGTAGATCCCTATCCACAGGGTCCGGGAAAAGGAAAGAAACGGCCGGCAGAGCTTGGAGGTCTCAGAGTGGCTGACCCCATGAGCTGCCACCGAGGCAGCCATATCCAGAGGAGAGAACTGGGTTTTCAAACACCACAGATTAAAGCTCAAGCACCAGCCTGGCTCTGGCTGCTCATGCTGCCTGACCTCCTCCCCTGGCATCTGCTGCTGTGCGTGCAACATGGACATCACACACCCCAAATCACATCATGGATCCTGGCTGCAGGTACCCACACTGACTCTTTGCCCCCATGTGCCCAGCTCCTCCTGGCTTTTAAACAAATGGGGGAACGGAAGCTTGGCCACAGGACTTGGTGCTCGTGGTTACCGGGAGCACTGCCGGCAGCCAAGGTGCTCCCAGTAACCAGGAGAGGCTAGAGCCCCTGGAACAGATCCAGTCTTTTGCCATAGAGCAAAGAGGACGGTTCCACACTCACATCACCATGGCAGAGAACAGACCAAGAGACAAGATGTGGGGTCATAAACTGCGATTTGGGGTCACAGAGCATAGAGATGGTCTCTGAGCAGGATGTGACCATCCACTCAGCATGGGGCGGTGTGTTCTTTCTGCAGGGACACCACACATGAACCTCATGGAGGTTCACGTGGAGCAGCACGTGGCAGGGCCAGAGGGTGCACTGGGAGGGGCCATCTGTCAAACCTCTGTGCTGGGGGAAAGATGCTCTCAGCTTGTTCCCCAAGGGGGGTCGCTGACTCCACTCACCAGCATCCAGCACGTCACCACCATCCATTGCATCACCACAATCCATTGCATCACCACCATCCAGCACATCACCACCATCCAGCGCATCACCACCATCCAGCGCATCACCACCATCCAGCGCATCGCCACCATCCAGCGCATCACCACCATCCATCGCATCACCACCATCCAGCACATCACCACCATCCAGCGCATCACCACCATCCAGCGCATCACCACCATCCAACGCATCGCCACCATCCAGCGCATCGCCACCATCCAGCGCATCGCCACCATCCATCGCATCACCACCATCCAGCGCATCGCCACCATCCAGCACATCACCACCACCCAGCGCATCGCCACCATCCAGCGCATCACCACCACCCAGCGCATCGCCACCATCCAGCGCATCACCACCATCCAGCGCATCGCCACCATCCAGCACATCACCACCAGCCAGCGCATCGCCACCATCCAGCGCATCACCACCACCCAGCGCATCACCACCATCCAGCGCATCACCACCATCCAGCGCATCACCACCATCCAGCGCATCACCACCATCCAGCGCATCACCACCATCCAGCGCATCACCACCATCCAGCACATCACCACCATCCAGCGCATCACCACCATCCAGCGCATCACCACCATCCAGCGCATCACCACCATCCATCGCATCACCACCACCCAGCGCATCACCACCATCCAGCGCATCACCACCATCCAGCGCATCACCACCATCCAGCGCATCACCACCATCCAGCGCATCACCACCATCCAGCGCATCACCACCACCCAGCGCATCACCACCATCCAGCACATCACCACCATCCATCGCATCGCCACCATCCAGCACATCACCACCATCCATCGCATCACCATCATCCATTGCATCACCACCACCCAGCGCATCGCCACCATCCATCATATCACCACCACCCACCGCATCACCACCATCCAGCACGTCACTACCATGACCATGCCACCACCATGACCACACCACCACCGCACTGCTCCCCGAGCATGAGGGTGCCGTACATTTGACCACCACACCACAAATGCTGCCCAACTCCAGCCAAACAGAAAATCCTCCCCAGAGAGCAACGCTCGGGTCCTGCCTGGCTCTTGAGACAAGCTACCAATGGGCTCCAGGGCTCAAACCCCTGCTGTTCCAACCTGGGCCTTGCAGACACATGACCTGTCCCCCTCGACCACTGCAGCGCCTCAGAACATCACCCGACAACCCACCCCGGCCTTTCCAGCCCCCAGGAGAGGAGAAGCCATCGGGTGACAATCTGCCTGGGAAGAGGCTGCAGCACGCTGCTGAGGAGCTGTGCTTGTGCGCAGGCAGAGCTCACCACGAGCAGTTTGGTTTGCTGTGGGCAGTGGTTCTTCCTCTTTCCCCTTAATAAGAATTCATTGAGCTGCGTGTGGGAGGCACTGGCCTGTGGGAGCAGGATCTGACCACCGGCATCACCAGCACTGCCAGCCTAGTGACAGGCTTTCATTCCTGATACGTATGGGGACTCCTGGGGCCTGCAGTTACACTCCTGTTGCTCTGGGTAATCGATGAAGTCCGGGGAGGGCAGACCCGAGAGAATCATCAGGGACTTGTTCCAGATGGTGAAGGTCGGGCACACGGGCAGGATGAAGGAGACTTCAAACGTGTGGAGGTGCAGGGAGTTGGCCGGGTCGTAGAAGGAGAGCGCGTTGTTGTCGTAATCCAGGAGCACGCCGAGGCGCTTCATCTGCGGGTGCACCTCCACCAGCATCTCCTTGTTATTGTGCCTCACCACAAAGTTGTTGTTGCAGCGGGAGAAGACCCACGACGAAGAGTTCTTCCCGATCCACTCGTTCTTGGGGGCTGACTTGTACGCCACTCCTATGGCATACCTGCAGGGGAAGAGAGGAGAGGCTTGGATTAGCTTCTGTCCAGCCCTGACACTGCTGTTGCTGCCTCCCTGATGGCTACTTTATAAGGGTTCTCCTCGTGTGGAAGCAGCACAGCAGCAGCTTCATGGGATGAAAAGGGGTGAGAGGCAGCAGTGACACATCTGGACAAGTTTGAACCCCTGCTCTGCTCCTTGTGCCACGGAGCAGAGCTGCCAGCTCATGGTGGGACCTGCGCCCCCTGCTGTGCCTGGTGCCCCAGGGGACAGAAGGTGGCACTGGAGCCCCCGAGAGCTGCAGGTCCTTCTCTGCCTTTGATCTGAGCATCCCCACCATGAGCATCCCCAGGACACAGGGCTCCGGGCTCAGGGCTGATGCCATCGGCTGCACCAGCACGCGCCCTCCGCAGAGCCACGGTGCTGCAAGGTATTGGAAAGCTCCTTCCTTCTCTGAAGGCCTCACGGGATCCAGTCACCAGCAAAACAATGCCTGGAACGGGTCCATGTCTAAGCAGCAGCTCCAGACACAATTATTGCTTGAGAGACAGCTCACAAACCAAGCTGCTGAAGTCGGAAACTGCTTTTTACTGCAGGCTGCACTAACGCGCATCCGGGATGCACCGTGGGACTGGGGCCTGAGGGCAGCCTCAGCTGGGGGATGCAGCACTGAGTGCTGGGGATGCTCTGTGCCACAGCTGGGAGTGAGCAGCAGAGCTTAGGGCCGTGGAGGCAGCCTCCCTGGGGCAGAGCCATGCAGCAGCACAGGGCGATGGAGAGCAAGCAGCAAGTTAGGCTGTGCCCCCCTGCCATCACTGGGCAGGGATGTGTACCCCAACGAGCAGGGAGGGCAACGGAGATACAAGCTTTACCTTGTGGCCTCACTGGGTTGGAGCCAAAGGCTTCCAGCAGAGAGGAGAAACTCATCAACCTCTTGACAGCCACAGCCACCAGACTTAAGGTCTCAGCAGCCTCCCTGCCCATAAGAAGCTCTGCCAAGCCCCAGGCCTTTAACCCTTATGTCTCCTACATGTCTCTGGGGAAAGCTGAGGGCTCCCAGAAGAGGAAGGGAGGAAGGACAAGGGTGGTGCCTACCAGGTCGAGGATCCCACCACCACCTCCCAGTAGTGACAGCCGCTGTCAATGAAGATGTTTCCTGCTGCTCCATAGCATCCTGTCCCGCTGAACCTCTCAGGCGTGTGGCTCTTCTTCAAGGAGCTCTCGTCCTTCTCCATCTGCAGCCCATCATTGGAGATCTTCAACTTCTTGTGGGCCATCTTGGGGTCCAGCTTGAAAGGCTGACCTGTTAGTGGGAGGCACGCAGATTAGGATTCATGTTTGTCATCATCTTTTGTCCTCTGTCAGTGATGTAAAATGTGGCAGAGATGGGAGGATGATGCCAGGTAGTGGCAGCAGCCATTGGGATGCACTGTGAGCCAAATCGAGGCAGGGTGGGCAGACTGAATTCCTGAATGGATCCATGCTCTATTAGTAGTAATGAGAGCTCCACAAGCACATGGACGGGAGGGCAGACCCTGAGGTCTGGAATAGCAGCACCAGTCACAGCATCAGAACCACAGCATCGAGCATGCCTCCCCCAGCAGCTGACCCAGGCTGCTCTCACCGTGCCCAGGCTGCTATTGCGTGTCACAGGCAGCACAGCCCGAGGTTTTCGGTGCTACTCTGCTGCCAAACAAGGTGTCAGCACTCGGGGAAGGCAGCGGGGAATTGAACACAGGCCCAGCCTCTGTTGAGGGAGCCTGGGTGGGAGGTGGAGCCCGGGGCCTTCCTCCACACTTACCAGCATCCAGCTTGATGCATTCTGCAGGTCTGCAGTGCTGGCTTGAAACCCAACTGCTGCAACTCCTCTTTGACCTTACCAGCACACAGGCAGCCAGACTGCTTCCTAACTGACACCACCGGTGCTGATCAAACCCTCTGAGGATCTCAGAGGCTCCAGCAATGCCTGCAAAGCACGCACTGCTATGGTTTACCCTAACCCGCACCCGCAGAGCCCCTGCCACGGCCAAGGCAAGAACCATAGAAACCACTTCCCTGAGCTTTATTTACTACCAGAGCTGGGTCTGTCCTGGTATCCTGGCACTTTCATTCCCTTTTGGACACTTGCTAATAAATAAGACTGACTCAGGATCAGGCTCTGCGAAGGAAGGTTTCTCTCTGTCACTAAACCAGAACCGTTCTCCCAAGGTATTCTGTTCAAGAACACAGACTTAGCCCCAGCACTGACAGCAGTAACGCTGCAGAAATCAATGTGTCCTGACACTGACCTTCTGGTGATGAAGGGATCTCTCCACATATCCCTTCAGGAGCAGAAAGAGGGCTGTGGAATGTGATAATTGGCCCTTGTCCCTGTCGAGCTGCTGACATTTCCCGTGAGGTGACAGCAGCACAGGAGCCTGCGCTACCTCCTGCCACCCACAGGGAAAGGAGGAAACCCTTTGCCATAGAACAGCAAACATGAAGGGGCAGGAGAAACAGCCCCTGGTGCTGGGGGTGCAGCATGAAGCGGTGGCACCTTGTTGACACCATCCCAATGATGAGCAGGGAACACCCCAGAGGAGCCCTCATACACAGAGAGAAACGATATATGGAATCATCATGGAATCCCAGCCTGATTTGTGTTGGGAGGGACCTTAAAGCTCATCCAGTTCCAACCCCCTGCCAGAGCAGGGACACCTTCCACTAGAGCAGGTTGCTCAAATACACTCTCTCTATACATTACACATATCCATATTGCTGGATCAAACCCTCAGAAATTCTGAGGTTTCCCTAAAAACTTTCCCTGAGAAGCACATAAACCCCGCACCCGCGGCACAGGGACATGTGCTCACCGCTGCCGTGCACCCCTTTCCTGGTCATTCGGTGTGCTAAGGGAGCTCCTGGTGCACAGACTCCTGTCGTACATCATCACTTGTGCAGTGCCTCGGGTGGGGATTGCTCAGGGTTTATAAACACGCAGGATGCTGCTGCAGATACATCCCTGCAGCAAGGGGCTGCCTGCAGAAACCTGAGTGCGCTCTTGTTTAGGGTTAGGGTGATTCTTGATCAAATCTCAGTCTGACTTCCCTGCCCATCTTTAACCCTCCTTGGCCACCCCCAGGGAGGTGTGAAGCACAGTCTTGCTGCAGCTGCAAAGTTCCATCCACCACCATACAGACACTTGGTTCTCCTTAAGGCTCCCCATACAGGGAGAAAGGCATGCACAAGTGCACAACTGCGCTGGGACCCCTGCAAGCCCCATGGTGTAAAGTGACCAGAAAGATGGGACCTTCAGTGTCCCCCAGCATCCCAGCTGCTGAGGGACCCGCAGGCACTGGCAGAGCAGAGCTGATGGCAGGGAGCCCGGGGCACTGTGTAGGGTACCAGGAGACCAGGAGGCAGGGAAGGAGCTGCCACATGGAGCAAGATGGGATGTTGGACCATTGAAACCCTGGGTCTCCACCGCGCTAGCAGGGAGCGCTCGGCCATGCCCCTCTGGATGTGGGCACCATGGAGCTGCTCCCGCAGCACCCACCGGGGCGAGGCGAGCACCCACACGTACTGTTGGTCTTGAGGCGGGCAGGTTCGCTGTTCCGGCTGCCCGCCTGGTTGATGGCCTTGACGAGGAAGATGTAGCGCGTGCCGCTCTGGAGCCCGTGGACCGTGTAGTGGTTCTGCTTGATGTTGGGGACAATCATCCAGCTGTCCATGGAGTTGTAGAGACCTGGGGATAGGACATGGGGGGGGAAGGTTTATCCACAGGGAAGGACAGAGCGCAGAGACCGTGTGCTGCCAACCAGACCTGACTGACTGTGCAACGCTCAGGCTGATTTACACCTCCCAGAGAGGAAGAGATGCTATCACCCTGCAGACAAGGACCAGCTTTAGACCCTTCATCAGAAAGGATGCAGTGGTTGAGAGACAACAGTCTGGGAATGATTTGGCCTCCCAGGCAGGTTTCTTTCCCAGAGAGCCAAGAAGGGCTTCGCCCTGGAGACTGAGGGCTCCCATCCTTGCCAGAGCTTAAAAACAATCCTTCTTACTTCAGCTTTTGTCATCCATACAAACGTCCAACTCCCACTGCGCTCCTGGCTCCACAGACAGTGTGAAGGGGAGGCCAACTGTGCGCTCCTCCAAAAGGTATTTCCTTTCCTGGGAAGCTCCTCGTGTCCCGCCCCAGTCTCTTCATGCATGAGTTCAGCCAGGGCTCAGACGCTCTCACCACCAGACCTGACTGTGCTGTGTCAACTGGCAATGTGCTGTTCATGCTCTCCTCTGAGATGTTAACTGATGTTTTCTCACTCCTTGTACAAAGAGCCACCGAAGGCAGCTGATGGGTGCCCCTCCGGCAGCCCTCCAGAGCTGCCCTGGCCTCCTCCCTTCCCCTCTCTCCCACCTTCCCATGCCTGAAGCCAGGCCCAAGAGGGAGCGACCCCTCCTGTTCCCAGCCTGAAGACCGTGGCTGCTGGCCAGGCTGCGTGACCCAGCTCTGAGCATTGGGGTTCCTAAAAGCGGGAACTTTCTCTGGCAGCTTCCTGCATGTTTTAGAGTGCACTTCACAGCCTTCCTGTGCTGTGACCCTGCGCCTCCAGCACTGACACCCTCTGGACCGGTGAGATAAAGTGACAGCAGCCCTCAAAGCCCACAGTGCAGAAGCATCATGTCAGCACTTCCTACAGTGGTTAAGTGCTTACTAAGGAAAACCAGGAATAAAAACTCCTCTCAGGAGCCGCGCTGCCAGGATTCTGGGCTCCTCCAAAGCACTTCAGGATGGACAAGCTGGAAGCTCTGGTTTTGTTCTCCCATTACAACATCCATGTTTTGTTTCCTTTTTCTGGCACGAAACAAGCAGTTTCCCTGGACTTTCTCCTACAGCTCAGCCCATGGATCCAATTTCCTCCAGAGCACAAACCCCCTCCAGTTTCAGGGAAAAGGCAGCGTTAAATCACAGAATCACAACAGCCTGGTTTGGGTTGGGAGGGACCTTAAAGCACACCCAGTTCCAACCCCCTGCCACGGGCAGGGACGCCTTTCATAGAGCAGCTTGCTCCAAGCCCCTGTGTCCAACCTGGCCTTGAGCACTGCCAGGGATGGGGCAGCCACAGCTTCCTTGGGCAAATCATAACACGTGCGTGTCTCTGACACCCCAAGGATGCACTGGGCACACAAAGAAAGAGCTCGCTGCTGCTGCTGCTGAGACTGGGAAACAGTCCTCAGCTTCATGGCCAAGCTGTATCCCCGCCCCTCTGTGCAAACCCCAGGAACCCCTTTCCCTATAAGGACATCAAACCAGCCTGTGCCTTTTTCCCAGATAAACCTTCCCGGGAATGAGCACCAAGTCAGCCCCTGCCGTCAGGAGAGCCTCGGGGATGCCAAGCTTGTGGGGTGAACAACCACAACCACAGACCCACCAGCAAGAGCCTCACCAGCTGCAGGTCCCATTTCTGCTGAGCAGACCTCTGGTGCTGTGGAAGAACACTGAGCTCTGCCAGATCATTTTCAGGAAGGGTTACCTGGAGATGTGCCTCAGTACTGCTATGGGGGTGGTAAATCAGTGACCAGCCCATGGAGCAGCCCTGCCCATAAAGTGTCAGGGGGAGAGGTATGGATCTGGGAGCCAAGACGGATGGAGACCCTCCACTGATCCAAGCGCTCCATGGGGCCGAAGGCTGCAGGCACTGAGCACAGGGCAGAACAGCCCCAGCCAGGGCTCCTACATCCCTCACCCCAGCCCTGAGCAGGGTCCTCCCCCAGTTCCCAGTCTCTAAACCCGCTGATTCTCCCCCAGAACCTCTCTCCTCCCCGGAGCAGCGCAGCGCGATGCCGTCACTTACTGATGAAGTTGGCCTGGCCGGTGAAGATGGTGTACTGCAGCTCGTAGGAGCTGACGCTGAACTCATCCTCCGACATCCAGTGCACAGTGATGGTGTCGTGGGAGGCCGTGCAGAGCTCCTCCCGCACTGACGGCGGGTTCGGCGCTGCGGGAGATCACAGACAACAGCCCGGTAAGGTCCTGCTTTCCCAATGCACCCTGAGCTCAGACCTGAGAGCAGCTCTCAGCACCCAAAGGGGCTACAGGAGACCTGCAGAGGGGCTTGGGACAAGGGCCTGTAGGGACAGGCCAAGGGGAATGGCTTGAACCTGCCCGAGGGGAGACTGAGCTGAGCTCTTAGGCAGAAGCTCTTCCCTGTGAGGGTGCTGAGGCGCTGGCACAGGGTGCCCAGAGAAGCTGTGGCTGCCCCATCCCTGGCAGTGCTCAAGGCCAGGTTGGACACAGGGGCTTAGAGCAAGCTGCTCCAGTGGAAGGGGTCCCTGCCCGTGGCAGGGGTTGGAGCTGGATGAGATTTAAGGTCTCTCCAACCCAACCCAACTCAACCCGTGGGTCACATCATCATTTTTGACATGTTTCCTGCCTTCTCCTCCCACCCTCCAGGACAGGCAGCGTGCACCAGTGGATGGGGACATGCAGGAAAGTGTCACTGTCCCGGTGGCAGCGCAGCCTCAGCTGACCAGGTAAGTGCTGCCGGTGAGAGCAACCCGCAGCCCCTTTGCCGCGCAGTGCATGCTCACCCGTCAGGTAATCCAGCCCCTCCAGCAGCTTCTTCTCTCTGGAAAAATCCAAAGCAAAGTTTTCAAAGGCATCATTAAAATTGATATCTGGTATCAGAACTTGGGAGGAGGCGGTTGCCATGGCGACCCTGGAAGAAAAGAGGAGCCCATCAATACGCATCAGGGTGCGGGATGCTCCCGGCAGCGCTGAGGCAGGGGATTGGTGGGGATGCTGTGGGACACTGGCTCGTACCTACTGCCCCTGCTCCTGCCCCAGGAGGGTGGCCTAGCCTGGGGACAGGTCCCACAGGGGTGTGTGTGGGGGCTCTATCCCTGGGTGGTCGCAGCCCCAACTACCCTCCAAGCTCACTCTGGATCAGCATTCCCACCCCTTCCCCCCCCGGAATGATGTTTACTCCCACAGGAGATGCTCAGCTTCGTGAGGACCTGCCATGCAGCCTCTGTCTTTTGAGGGCTGGGCACCAGAGACACAACAGAGCAGCACCCCCAGGCAGGTCCCTGCGAGCAAGGACAGCTCCAGCCACATCCCACCTCTCAGCCACGTTCCTGGCTGTCTGCAGAAACCGCGCGTGGTCGTTCTCCTTCAGGATGTGCTCTGCCTGGTTGATGAGGACCGTGGAGCGCTCCAGGCACTGCCGGCAATTGGCGACCTGCTGGGCCAGCTTCCGCAGCTTCATCACCTGCGAGGGGGGCACAGCGGGGCTCAAAAAGGGGCGCAAAAGCCAGCACACGGCCTGGAAAGCAGAGGGAAGGCCCCATCCCAGGCCAGGGGCTGCTTAAATGAGGCAAGAAACAGTGAAACAGCACAGAATCATCCCCATGGGTTCTGGGGAGGGACAGCAGCAATGCACTCCCTATGCTCAGTCTTGCTTCCAGGTGGGAAAGCCACAGGCAAAAGCCCCGGTGCTGCTCACGTGGTCCCCCAGGAACGTGCCCATAGCATCAAGCAGAGGAACTCCATCACCTGTCCCTCACTGGCAATCCAGCATCGAGCCGGGCTCATACTGTGAGCACACAACAGAGCTGAACTGGGTCCTCTACTCCACGTGACCCCCCATGGCATCCCCAGCCTGCATCCCGAGGCAGCAGCCGTGTGCTGCGGCTGTGCTGCTCCCCTGCAGCCGTCACGTTATTTCCTACTTCCTGTTTTTAAGCAGGACCAGTGCACATTAAATCCTCATGGAGCTGCTGTGACAGCGGCTCCTGGAGCACCTCCCGGAGCTCTTGCTTCCTGTTGGACTTCCAGACCACGGTACTCCAGGGGGGTACGGACTGAGAGCGCGCTGCGAGTGAGGAGCTGCCATGGGATGTGCCCCAGGAGCTGTGCCTGCCCGCTGCTGCAGGCGAGGATGAACCCTGGGCAGGGATTGCTGTGGGATGCCTCAGGGGAACAACCTTCCCCATTCCTGAACCTTGGAGCTCCCAACTGGCCCAAGAGGGTCTCCCAGCCTCAGGGCTCCACACAGACATGTCCCTCGTCACCCTTTCTGCTGCAGGTCAGTGCCACTGCATGGAGGGAGGGGTGGGGAGAGGCGGCAGAGCCCCTGCCCCTGCCCCTGCCTGCTCTGAGCCCGCTGCCCGGAGGGGCTGCAGCAGGATGCGCTAACACTGAGGGCAGAAGCTGCAGGTGCCGTGGCCAGGGGCCAGTGCTACTGGGCTGGGCTGTGACACCAGCACCTGCAGAGCCCCGAGCACCGGATCTGTGCTGTGTATGAAGAGCGCTCTTCAGACCAGCTGCCTCCTCCTCCCGCATGCTCCATAGGCCTCCCTTCCCTGGCCACTCTCCGCAGCACCACGTGCCATGCGATCAGGCTGCTCCATGCATCCATGTCAGGAAAAACCACACCGAACAATGGAAACCCAAGCACCAGTTCAGAGGAAGGCAGCTTTCCTAGAGCTGCAGCTGGAGCGCTTCAAACCAGCCGCAGTGCCCACAGCTTCCTCCTGTCTCCTGGGCTCGGAGCTTTCTAAGCTCCGCGGTGTTTGTGGCTGGGGCTCCTCACTGCTCAGAGGTGTCAAGAGTGATGGGGAAGGTGCCTGGCCTCCCTCAGCACAGGGACTGCAGCCGGGCACCGCGGTGCTGCAGACCCACACGTTAACATCCCCAGCCTGATTTCACCAGCAGAAAGGCTTGTTCCAGCTTCCAGGTGTCGGAAGTTACCTGGTGTCATGGTTTATCTTTGGAAATCACACCCTGTCCCGTCCCCAGTACACCCAGTACCACCATTCCCATGTCCATTCCCCACTGGTCTAGTGCTGAGTTTGCAGCTACATGGGCACAAGCTTGCTGCTCTGACCCTGGCTATAAGCATTGAGCATTGCTCTGTGGGTGGGTTTGGGCACTCACCAGGGCCTCTCCTCCACCCAGCTTCCAGTCTGTAGGAAAACATCTCTGAGCCTTCCAGCTCCCTGCCAAGCACGGCTGAAACTGGACAACATGGCCAGAACACGGTAAGGGGCGAGGTGGGAAGTGAGAGGCAGACAGACAGATGGACCAGCAGAAGGCACCGTTACATAAAACATGCTCCTGAGGTGGCTGGGATAAAAGCAGTATTCCCAAGCTTCCACCCCACCGGGGGGTCCATGCATCATGCTGCTCTTGCACTCACAGCACAACCCGCTCCCAAACCTCCTCTGGTGTACGTGGGGTGATGCTGCCCCCCAGCTCAGCTGTCAGCAAGTGATGGACGCAGAGCTGGACCCTGCTGCACCTCTGAGCTCGGCAGGAAAGGCAAAGGGCTCGGGCACACTCACTGTGAACTCAGAACTACAGCCTGTCCCTCTGTCCTGTCCCTCCAGTCTCTGCCCATCACATGGAAACCACTGGGAAAAGCCAGAACCACTGGAGGAAGGGTCCAAACACACACCTCACCCCAGGAAAGGGGTGAGAACTGCTGCAATGCAGAGCATGTGCCTCTCCCTCTCCTGCAGTGCAGGGCTTGGGTGGCCCTCAGCATTAATTCCACTGTATCCTATTAGCACTGCAGAGTCAGAAAAGCCCCAAGGAAACGTCTGGCCTGATCCAAGCACTGCATCCATTTGTCACGTTCATCAATGTGCCCTGCATCCTCTGGTGATGCCAAGCATGTGCCTTGTCCTTGGCAGGGGAGCCCTGTGGACAGCAGGAGGGGACACCAGGACCCATGCCCCATCCGTGGGGCAGGGAGATGAAGCTGTGCTCACACAAACAGCTGCCCAGAGCAGATCAGCTCCTCCATGGAAGGCAATAAGCTGCTGTCAGCCCCTCTGTGTGTGTGCTGCTGACATCCCAGCCCCATGGGCACAAGAGGGGACCCTGGAACCATGGCTCAAGCTCTCCAGCTCTCCTTACCTTCGTCTCCTTGATCTTGACAGCGATGACCTGCTTGCGCTGGCGGATGATCTCCATGAGCTCGTCACACTCCTCCATCAGCTTGGCCTCATGCATGGCTGTGTTCACCTGGCCAGGGCAGCAAAAGCACACGTGCTGTTAGGAGGGACATGCTCATCCCTGAGCCCAGCAGCTGCGCGGCTCCCCCAGCTCACACCAGGGACAGGCAATAGGTACCCTCCACGCTCGCCTGCATCCAGCTGCAGGAAGGAAGAAGGCTGAAGAAGGGTGTGAGTCCCTCCTCACTGCACACCAGGGGCAGTGCTGGGTGCTGGGCTGCGCTGGGTGTTCACAGGGCACCGGCTGCAGGAGCCAGGCTCAGCCCCAGTCACGGCTCCATCGCTCCCCACCAAAGCCTGTGCACCACCGCCCAGCACCAAAGGCTCAGGAATCACCCATTTCCCTGCATGTTTTGGCGTGCTCAGCACAGCACAGGCAGAGGCTTCAGGCCTCTGCCTCCAGGACAGACCAGCATCCTTGGGGGAATACACTCGACAGAGGGGGTTCAAGCCCTGTTCCTCAATCCCAGCAGTGCGCTAGAGGACAAGGATAGGCTGTCTTCACTCCATACCCTTGGAGCTGTGTGAAGGCAGCCCAGAGTTAAACACATTCTGTACAAGAGCTTTTTTTAAACTTGGCCAGCAGCTTATGCAACTCTGCAGTGGGAGACAGCCGATGGGCTGCAAGGACAGCTCCAGCAGGGAACCAGAGCAGGATCTGCCCCATCTGCTGGGGAGGGGGGACGAGATCAGGGGCTGGAGCCTGCAGCAATCTGTGCTGCCTTGCAACCCGGCTGGCACAGGGGATGCTGGCAGCACGCTCGCCCCTGTGTGCAGCAGAGGGGGCATCACGCAATCCTCCCGGAGCACAGATCAGGGCTGTGTCTGCTGTTGCCATCGGGAGGGAGACCTGGGTGCAAAGACCCCAGAGGAGAAGTGTGGGGGGGATCACTCAGCAGAAGCCAGGCTGAGACCCCAGGCCCCTGCTTCCATTAACCCCAAAGCTGAAAACCCACCCAGGGCCAGGGCTCTGCAGCTCAGCCACCACCCATGCTCCGAGAGGCTGACGGCAGATGGGGACACAGAGCCCACCACAGCCCTTCCTCAGCTGCCTCCTCTCCACAGAGGAGCATCCGAAGCCATGGTCCCAGCCCCACAGTGCTGGCAGAGCACGGAGCAGGGATTTGAGGCCAGCATGGCTCAGCTGAACACTGCCCAAAGCACTTTTCATTAGGATGAACCAGTTCCCATAGCAGGTAAATGCTGCATTTGAGGTGAATTCTCAGCAGGTGCTATGGCTGTAGGAAAGCCGGGCACGGAAGAACTCTTAGACATAAAAGAGTGGGGGAAAAAATGTTTCACTCTTCTCAAAGCATGTGTAGGAATGTGCTAGGGACAATACACCCCTACAGCAAAAACCAATGGTAAAACTCAAACCTGAAGACAGGCATTGCAGCTAGAGGAGGGATGAGGAGCATCCCTGCAGCCTGAGGTGGGAGTTGGCACACATAAACCTCCTCCTCTCCCAGGCATTGGGAACCCAGCTCCGAGATGGAGCGGGGAACCCCAGCCCACCCCAAAGCCATCCACAGGGTTCAGGGGACATGCACCAGGCCAGCTCCATGCAGCACGGTGTGAGGGCAGCGACCTCTCCCCATGACAGTATGTCAGGGTGCTGAAGCACCCACCCTGGTGCTTCAGGCTCCTTGCAGGGCTGCTACCTGCTCTCTATGGTCCTCATTTCCATCACAGGAGGTGCTCCCTTTGCCCTCTCTCCGCAGCATCCCCAAGGGGTCACTTCTCGCAGGCTCCATGTATGGGGACTCTCGTGACACCCTTCTCCAGGGTCTGGTCTCTCTCCTCTGCACCTCAGGGTGCCAGTGTCACAGTCCCTTGGACATCGTGTGGGACACGGGCAGGGTGTTGGGATCGCACATGTCTGCTTATGCACAGCATCCCCAGATAGCTCCAAAGCACAATCCCTGCGATGCAGCCTCCAAGGGAAGTGTGGAGGGACAGAGATATTTTCTACTTCACACTTCAGTGTGCTCTCTGAAGGGCAGGGCTGCATATTTAGTAAGGCTGAGGAATGAATTTCAACTGTTATTTTAAGCAGAGTGACTGACAAAGCTGAAAACTCCAAAACTATGTAGGAAATGGCAGCCTGGGGGCCTGAAACTTCCAGAATTAGAAAGAAACACCAAATAGCTTTCCGTTCATCACAGGTCAGTCCACAGGATGCTGGAGATGGATCCAGAGGAGGAGGTTTGGAAGGACATCCGCATGCATCCCTGCTCCATCCCCACTGGGGTCACAGAGTCAAAGCATGACCTTTAAGAGCAGTGAGTGCTGCTGATGGTCACCAGGGCTATGGCTCCCTCTCTGCCTGCCGGACACCCGCTTGCTCTCTATGTACCACAGCCCCCCTAGACCCGCTGGTAGGAGGCAGCCGATGCTTCGCCAGCAGTGCAGGGTCAGGAAGCTCTGTTCTTCACCCTTCGTGAAGGTGCCGGGCCAAGGAACCGCTGCTTAATTCATCAACCATAAAACACCAACAGCCCATTAACACAACCCTGCCTGTGCCAGCCTCTCTCGTGTTCCACTCCAGCAAACAGCTGCAAATTAATCTGCCATTAATTGGTACGTGCGCTTTGAAACAGCAGCGAGGTGTGAAGCATCTTCCTCCTGTCGAGTGCTTTCCAAGCAGAGCATCGCTTCTGAACTCCCGGCGCTGGGGCCGCAGCCAAGCCGCAGCATCAGGCTGCGGCACGATGCAAACAAGAGATGCCTGATTGCACACCAGGAACACAGAGCGCTTACAGATCAAGTGGTGAAAGCAGCAAGGTCAGCAGAGCCCCCTCCTCAGCAGGATTATGGGTGATCTCCTCTCTTCTGCTGGTGCTTGCTGTAATCCCCTCCACAAAGCCTTCCCACTCGCTGCCAGCTTAAGCCTGAGCATTGCTATTCCGCTGCAGAATGCCAGGCTCAGGCAGGAGAGATCATAACCACTGCCTGGCAGCAGGGAGGAGGCCGAGTGTATGTGTTTGGGAAGAGGATAGGAAGTGGGAATTCTGGCTGCTGCAAACAGGCAGGAAGTCTGGGACCAGCCTTGTCTTGCAAGGGGAAGCTGCTGGGGATGGAGACAATGTCCCTGGCTGAGCCAGGGCACTGGGGACAAGTCAGTCTGCCCACACTGCCACCGGAGCCTGACCCCGAACAGAGACTGAGTTAGAGATGAGGAAAACAGCTTTAACAGTGAGGTTCAGCAAGGAACAGTGCTGCACTGGCCCCACACCAGCCTGTGGAGAGGGTCTGGGGTGGGACAGCCCAGAAAGTACATGGGAGGTCTGTGAAAATTAGAGCCAGTGCCCTGTGAAACAGAAGTGGGGTTATAGCCTGGGAACAGCCAAAATCACCCTTTTCCCTCCCCTCAGAGCACTGAAATGAGCAGCCCGGTGGCTGCTGCCTCTTCCCAGTGGCTCCCAGTCACACCTCCCTCTCCTTCAGACCATGCAGACCCCTGGAAGCATCCTCACATCCTCCATCAGCCTCCTGTCGCACCTTGGCATCAGTGATGCTCCCACCATGCTCACCTCCATCCCCAGGGCAGCCCCTGAGAAAGGACGCAGGAGCAATGCCGTGTATCTGCCATTCCCACTGGGGCAGCTTCCCCACCACCCTCCCCGCCCTGCCCCAGCCCCTGACCGCTCTCACCAACCTCCACTTGCTGGCAGATCTGGATGAGCTTGGCCATCTGGTTCTCCAGCTCACTGTTGCGCTTCACCAGGTTGGTGAGATTCGTCTCCAGTGTTTGCTGCGAGAACCGGGAGAGGAGGAAGAGAAGAAGCAAACAGGTCAGCAGAGCCAGGACCCCCTGACCCGTGCCCCAGCCACAACCATTGCCTGCCCCATGCACCCCGAGGGAGCCACAACTGGAATAGCGCTCAGCACTGCGGTGGCCCTGGGGGGGGTGACAGTGGGGTGTGTGCCCTTTGCTGCTCCTTTGGGGCTGTTGGAGGAACCAGGGCTGTGCTCTTTCCTGCAGCAAAAGCGAGTGTCTCCTGTGCTCCCTGGAAAACCTTATGGCGAGCGAGAATAACAGCAGGAGTATCTTCAGGATCTCAAAACTGTTCTTAAACCACTCACTTCTGCTGAACCCTCTGACAATGGGGAGAGACCAAACACTTCCTGCCCAGGAAGAAGCCAGCACGGCTGTTCCCATCATCCACAGATCTCATCCTGCTTCCTTACTGTATCGTACATGGTAAGGAAGCAGGACAAGATCCTAAGGAACCACGGGAGAGGCATCTCTCTCCTCTGCAAACCATCCCTGCCAGAGTGATGCAGAGATGGGCAGAGGGAGCAATGCTGCAGCTCTGGATGGGGCCAGGGCAGCTCCCACCAGACCTCACTTAGGGCTGCTCTACTCCTGGAGCAGAGCAGGAGAAAGGGCCTGTTGGTGAAGCTGTTGATATCTGCAGACCCGCAGTGGACCGGTGTTCTTCTGGGTATCAATAATTTAAGTGACAACACATTTCCATTAAAATATGTGGTTCCGCTAACAGGAACTGCTTTATAACAAGCACTCGGTACCTGTTGCAGCGCTTGTTGGGAAAACGATATCCTATTAATATTTTAAATGTCAGGGCTGGAAAAGGATCCCTGCGGTGCTTCCTTCACCTCTGGCTGGAAACTGCCGTCGGAGGCGTTTACCACGGCTGCAGCAGGCCCAGCACCACAGCTAATTTGGGGGCTAGTTAGCCAAGAGGACTTGGATCACAGTCCTGGAGCACGGGCAAAGCGCTCATTCCTGAAAAACCACTGGCTCCCAAAAGAGGCCGGGCTCGTTTGCAGCGCTGCGGATTGCAGCCAGCGGCGGGTGAGGCAGCATGCAGGAGCAGGCTGGAAAATGGAGTAAAACCCCAGGTGCCTTCATTAAGGGGAAGTGCTTTGCGTGACAGCGTGGTGTTGATAATGAAGCAGCAGCTGCTGGAGCCTCTCCCTGCAGCTCAGTACCATCAGACGCAGGCACCGAACACCTCACTCGCTGACCACCCCCTCAGCCCTCCCCACTGCACTGAAGGTGCAGCTATGAGACAGCAGTGAATCTGCTTCCATGTTCCAGGGCTGCTGTGTAGGGGCATGAACTCGAGATGCATGCACGAGCCCAGCACACACCCGCAGCATCCCACGCCTGCCAGGGACAGCACCATGCTTCCCATCCATCAGCACCCACAGACTGCCCCTGAGCACCCATCCTCCAGCGAGTGGTGCTGAGGCAGGGGCTGACCCATGCTAGTGACATCTCCAGCACCAAACCCCTCCCTGGCTGCACCTCTGGCTGCTGGGAGCCCTTGTGCCACACATGAACACACAGATGGAACCATTTCCTTCTGTCTGATTTGCTAAAACAACTGAAATGCAACAGAAGCTTCAGTTACAGCAGCTGGGTTTTCTGCAGGTACATATAAATTACCACAGTTATAGGGGTTGGTTTTTAATTGCATGATAACATGTTCATAATTTCCTCACATTCTGGCCTGAAGTACAGACGAGCCAACTGCTCTACCATTGGGAAGAGAAGAGAGAGAGGAAAAGGAAACTCCACCGTGTCCTTGAGCAGAATGCACTGGTGCTCAGTGAGATGAAGTGATGGAAAACCTTCATGGACACAAGAGTCCCTATGGGAAGCAGCTGAGCCCTGCCTAGGATGGATGAGGTGCTTCCCATGCTGCCCCTTCAGGCCCCATCCCTCCCCAGCAGCTCTGACAGGCAGCTCAGGGGGTGCACCCCATTTACCTGCAGTGACTGCATGCACAAAACCACGTTCAGGGCCCAGCTAAATGAGCACAGCACCGATGGGCAAGCGCTGAGCTCCGTGTTCTATTAGTCATGTGTATGACGTGCCACAACGCGATTTTCCTTTTCCTCCAAATACCAAAGAAGCAGCTGAACCAAAGGGGGATTTTCTGTCTGAAGCCATCAGCTCTCCTTCACCAGAGGGAACTCCTGGGAGTGGGACAGGAGAACCTGGAGTGCCCTGGGGAAAGCCTTGCCATGGGAGCGCACGGGCCATTGGTTGTGTGAGGACCTGCTGGTGCTGCTGCTGCTGCTGCTGCTGCTGCTCTGTGCTGATGCTCACTCGCAGCCTGACAGGCGAGAGGGCTCGGAAGGGTCTCGTGTGACTGCCCTGTTACACAACCAGCTTTCCACATTCATCTTCACGTGGAGGCTGCCAAAACCGAGCATTTACTTCCCGTGATCTATTTAGGGATTTTTCCACCGCCCTTGCTCATTTGTAACTGCTTTCAATAGAGCTCCCGCCATGTACCACAAACACGAGCCACATGTGTGTCCATAACCCCGTGGACAGGCGCACACGCACACAACTCAAACCAGCTGTGAAACGCAGAGCAGCAGCACAACACATCCCTGGGTGCCCACCATCACACACCAGTTCACCACAAGGAGCAGGGGAGGGAAGGGTGGGATGGCACACCAAGCCTCACGGGTGATAGCACAAGACCCAGGGTGCCATCCCTCCAGTGCCAGCCGTGCTGCACACACGCCACCTTCCCTCCATCTGCTCCCCAGGCCACAGGGCATTGCCTGGGTACAGAGGGACAGGATCGGGATGTCCCAGGATGCTCGTGCGCTGATCTCAAGCCCTCATTCCTTTCAGAAAGGCTGCCAAGGGGCTTCTCTTACCAGGCTCCTGAATGAGAACTGGGGGGGCAGCCAGGCCGCTCCTGCTCCCTGTCCCTAGCCCATGGCCACGAACGACAAGCCCTGAGTAACCCTCTCCTGCACCAACATGGGACTGGGAACGGCTCCTCAGGAAATTCCTCTCCTTCCGCGGCTTCAGACAAGCTGGGGTTTTGGCAGGAAGGGCTGGAGGAGGAACCGAGCTGGCATCGCTCACAGGGAGTTCCAGCAGCCCCTTGGGTTTACACATGACCAGGAGCCACCTGGGAAACCCCGCAGCAGAGGGAAGAGGCACTAGAATGAGAGGACATGGCACATCCTCGCTCAACACCCGCCCCACACCTCCCAGGAAACCACGTCCTGCGGCCACTGCGTTGCGGAGCCACTGGGAAACAGGCACCTCTTCCAAGGCAAAACACCCCTGCTCCTGCTGCCCAACCTCCCGGCAAACCCTCACGGTGCTTCCTCCATCTGCCTCCACTTCCCTCCCTCCCCCAGTGCTGCACCGACCATGGGCCCTCCCCGCTGACAGTGGAACACTGGTTCCATCACCAGGATCACAGCTCCTGGGGCACGAAGCTGCTGGACAAGAGACCTGAAACACTGACATGACCCAGGGTATTGCATCACAAAGGTGTGAAGGCTCCAAAACACCTCCTAGACCTTTCCGTGGGGTGCAACAGCTTTGTCAGGGCCGTTCTCATTGCATCACTCCACCTACACACCTTCCCAAAGCCCACCATGCTCATCCTCAAGCAGCTCCTGATGGAGCATTGCTCTGTCCCCTTGTGTACCATGGGGACACACCTGAGGCACATCCTCAACCATGGCTCACATTCCAACATCCACCAAGCCACATGGATGCACGCAGAGTCAGACATCTCCAGGTACATCGGGTTTCTCAACTGAAGAAACAAGAGGGAAACCAGCCGTGGGTACCACTCGCTGCCAGTCAGCAGGAGCAGCCCTGGGATGCACTCACGTCCTCCCAGCACCTCGCTCCTTGTTCTCCAGAACATGACAACGTGCTTCCACTCGTGCAGATGGGGAACCTGAGGAGCGGGGTGGGGAGCACACGCTGGTTCTCCTGTAAATCAGAGCTGTCCCGCACACAGCTCCAAGGGGGAGGAAAATTAAACAAAGTAGTTTAATGCTGTCATTGCTCCAATGCTGCTGATTGCTTGCAGACTCTGTCTGAAGCATCGTTTTGGCAGGTTTTGCTGTCTGGCTGCTCGCGTGCATCTCAAGGACTTACACCTCCCTTATTTGCTCTTTCTGTCCCTGCACCATTCACAGAAAGAGGGGCTCTGCTTCAGTAAACATTCCTTCAGGCAGAGATGCTGCAGGAGCCCCAGCACCTGCAAGTCCTTGGCATGAGTGGTGCTCCTCACTGCCGTCAGCAGGGGAAGGGCTCACTGGTGATGGATAACCTCTTGCTGCTGGAGTTCATCCACACCAGAGCGTATCCCAGGGAACAAGCTGTTCCCTGGCAAGCCACATTGATCTGTTCTCCTGGGTAAAAGGAGAAGAAGGATGGGAATGAGGCAGCTGACACCCCTCCCTGCCACTGGGCACTCGGCCCTTCTCCTAAGTCATTACATGGCGCAAGGGCTCCAGCAGTGAGACCGTAGTGCAGAGGGGAGAACCCTCCAAAGCACAGCATGGGCAGCCTGTGCCTTGGGTGAGCCTTGTCCTGGATGGAAGCTGGAGAAGAAACCAGGAGCTGCCCGCTCCATCTCTGAATGTCAGGATGCTCTATGGAATGCTGCCGTTCTGGAGGGCTGGCCACAGCCAAGACGGTTCTTTCTGGCCACCCCAGCTCGGCACTGTGCCAGTCCTCCAACGCACTAACAGTTACAAATACATCGAGAAATCAGAACAGGTTATTGCTGATACCAAAAAGCTTTCACTTCCAAGTCGGCTACGACAAGAAAAACACCCAGGGACCAGGCTGGACACAGAGCCCGGCCCAGGACCAAAGCACTGTAGTGCCCATCACTTGGAGAACAGCAGTGCTGCCGGCACAACCCGGCGGTCCACATCTCTCATCCCTATCCCCGGTGCCTGCTGCTTCCCTCAGCTTACAGCCTAAACCACCTGAGCTGCAAA